AAAAAATAATAAACCTTTTTCTTTTACCTTAATAACTAAGTTCTTAAACTAATGTAATACCCAAGTATATATTTTTGTAACTATTTTGAGTTTTTAATTAACCTTAATAACTAAGTTCTTAAACTAATGTAAGTATACCTAAGTAATTTTGAGTCGGCGGCAAGCAAGCAAATTAATTAATTACGTAAATCAGAATCGCATAAATATCATACGTCAGGCAACAACTTTTTATATCAGTTACTTCTTCCAATGTATCTTTATGAAGAAAAAATTGTCCTTTATGAAGAAAAAATTGTATTTACATAATATTCATTGTTAAAGTTGATAAAGTTTTGATATAAAAACTTTTTAACACTATGTTATGTTAGAAAAACACTTATGTTAGAAAAACTAACATAAGTGTTTCTGTAGCCTCTAATATTGCCAGTGTAGACACAGACACCGATGTGTCTCTTGTGTGATCAAGTGATCCATTTTTGCTAATTTTAGTACGAAATAGTGCCATCGATGTTTCTAAATTGAAAGCCACGCGAGCAAGCCGCGGTAAAAAGTTAGTGTAAAATAAATTCACCTTTCAGAACTTCCTACTAAAATCCTTCAGTAACTTAAAGAATGATATGTCTGAAACCTTTCGTTGGTCATTTAGCATCCATCCACGCAACTATGTTTAGGTAAATAGGTAACATACATAATATATAAGTTTTAAATTACATTAAAACTTTTTCAACTATTTTATCCTACAATTAAATATACTAAACACTAAACGAAAACTATTTCAACAAGTGTTTCCGAAAACTATTTACGTAAACATCGTTAAATCTTTAACATTCAATCGCCTAGAACGCCCTAGCCCCGACTGCGTATGTAGCTATGTAGCCCTGGAGCGCCTCGCGATTGTAGGTAATTTACTTTATTATTATTTATCAGCTCTTCTCTCTCTCTCTCTCTCTCTATTCTTCTATCTTATTACTTACCAGCAATTCAGGAGCTCGGTCCAAAATCAGTTATTGTTTTTTAAGTTTTACTTTATAATGTTTTGACATCATTATTATATATTTCTTTTTCCTTCGTTTACTATAAATTAATTTCCTAGTTATATGGCCGTAAACGCGATTGCTAATCGTGAAGTCCCGGGTTCGATTCCCTATATTCGATTCCCGGTTGTCCTAGTCAGGCCGAAATCAGTTTTTATTGTTTTTTTTTTTAATTTATAATTAATATATTTTACTTTATTATTTTTGACGATATTATTATTCATTCCTTTTTATTTATTTGCACCGTGATCAGGAAAAGTCGGTTCTTGATAAAAATATAACTTGATGATTTTTTTCTATCGATATAATTTTATGCCATTATGTTTTAATCAATGACGTCCCGCGCAATTACGATTTAATTTAATGTTCATATTAATAATCTTTTGTTGCTTTGAAGTTGATTTAGCTATGTAAAAATCGGATCTAAGATTGGCAATTTGTCTTTGTACGTCTTCTTAAAAATTAAAATTCAGATTGCGTTGTCATCTCTGAGGAATAAGATGGAATGCCTCGTTTTCACTAAAAAGGGATTTAATTGAAGATCTGCTTTTTTTGAAAAGTTTTAATTCACTCTAGACTTATTATGTAGTGTTAATATAATATTTATTACTAACTTAACGACAGCGCAACATAATGCCACATAATGAAGTCAATCAGTCAAGTCGTTCATAAGTTACGCGATCACCATCAAACGCACCCACGCGACGCTTATAAGATAAGATTTAAAGCAGAAACAGAATCTTTTTATTAAATATAGATAATAAATAACACCTATTGACAGTCACTCTTTTGTTTTGTTTACCACTGGTTCGGAAAAAAAACCAATTATAATACAACATTATTTATATATATATATATATATATATATATATATATATATATATATATATATATATATATATATATATATATACTATTACTAGAATAAAATACTATTACTAGCAACCCCTTATCAAGTGTGGCCTGCACTTGCGTTGCTAGTACAATAATGTCGTTGATAATATATTCACTAGGATTTTTTGTCAAAACCCACCAAGCTAGGCAGACGGGATAGTGAGCGCCGATGAGGCTTCTCATACAGAGGATTTACTTTTAGTTTGAATATTTTCTTACAGATACACTGCCATTTTTCGGTTCGTTAATAAGTAGAGCACTTCCGTGAACCCTCCTAATTTGGTAGACATCTCAGGAGTAAATTTTTTATCACCCTCTTATATCGCAAATAAGTTAAAAATAATGGAGATTATATGACGATATCACAATAATTTTGATGAAGTAATATTTTTAATAAGCTTATTGTATCGCTGTTATAATAAATTATTTACTATTTATCGCTGTGATTATTATTATTTATAAATATATTAGTAAGGCATTCCTCACAATCGAAAGTGTATAATATACTTAATAGACTTTTTTCGTGAAATATTTGGTAGAGACACGCTGCTGTGGGATAAGGCTCTGACACAATGGACCGGCTCGATCGAGTGAGTGTCGTGAACATTTGTACTGGTGACTTTAATGAAATAAATAGTGTTCGGGCCGTATTTTGGAATTAGTTTAGGAACTATGCTTTTTCATCAATTCTTGCTGAACACAAATATAATTATTCCAGCTTAGACCCACTTTTACTTAAAGGAGGAAAGATATATGGGTGTATATAGGTCACAGCATCCATTATACTATTAAATTGGCTGTGTGCTTGTATTTTTTATTTTTTTATAGCATAGGGTGACAAACGAGCACACAGTCCACCTGATGGTAAGTGGGTGCTGTGCCCATAGACATCTACATCTATCTTCCATTACAAATCAAAATGCAGATGCGTTGTCACCCGTGAGGACTGAGATGGAATGCCTCATTTCCAGTAAAAAGGGTCTCCGGTTCTCTACACTCACCATACGAAATACAGCAGCATTAAGCTACTATTTCACGCTGGTATTCTGTGAGAGCGTGGTCCTTCCCCGGTCGAGCCGACCCATTCGTGCTACAACTATACTACTAATATAATTGCAGCATGGCTCTACCACGTATAAAAATACTTCATATCATTCTTACTTCTTTACAAAAATATCGTAAATAAGATTTATAATTCGAAATGCTTTCTTGAAAAGAAATGAAAGTAACAGTATAGTAGCTACATTGCCACTAATAATTAAGTAACACGGATTATACAAAACTTTAAAAAAATAATGATTCGTTCCAAAAAAAAATTTATAGCAGTAGACATAATTTACTTAAACTTCATCAATGAATCACCAAAGTGTACGTAGGTTTTTTCCCGTTCTGTGAAAAAATAATGTACTTTGGTTACTTCTATTCTACGTACATGTATAGTCTTGTTTTATTTTAGAACTAAAACAAATGGAATATTGCCTACTAATGGTAATTTACAGCAATGTAGCTTGTAATAAGGGTACTATATGTACTTCTACTGTATTATATATTTTACGTCATACATTTTCACATTATAAACTAGAGGGATAAGCACCACGCACGCACTCATGCACGCAGCTATCATATCACGCAGCTCTAGCTCAAGCAATATAATACTCGTATGTACACCATAGCGTAGTGTAAATATTACTACATAAACACTACATGTTGCTAACGCGTAAGCGTTGAAGTATTTTCGTCTGGTTAATGGTGTACCTCTATTGATCCACCGAGTGACAAACAGCTGTTGGGAACGGGGTCACTCTATATTTTATCACAATGCTTTCTTCAATTTCACGAATGGTAATTTTTTTAAAACTATTCAGTTTATGAAAATAATGGAAACTACACAATATTTTATATAAAGACTTTTCAATTTGCCTACTGTTTCATAACAAATAAATATTACAAAGTAATAAATTAATTTATTATCTTAATTTTATAACTTTTCCCTGCTAATCTTTATGTGCCACAAAATGTGTATCAAAATTATCGCTATCATCAATTTATGGCAGTATACTGTTTTAAATTAAATGAAAATAAATTAGCCCGATCTTATCCAGTTGCAGTTGATATAAATCGACGACCCACGTCTAAAGAGAGAAAACATAACGTGAAACAAAACTTAAAGTCATAAAGATTTTCAATAATACGACCAACTGGTTCTGCGGATTATGTTCTGCTCTTACCGGTGGTGTGATGAGTTTTACTCTAAGTTCGATGCAGGATTTTTACAACGCCACCTTTCCGGTCTGGATTTTGTGATTTTTATTTCTGGGACTAAACTAATGCAAATTGAAAAAATATAACTTGACTATTGCACCACCTAGTGAATTATTGCATGACTGAACCATCGTCTTGACAAAACAAATATTTTATGTAAATATGACTTTAGTCGGTTAAGTTGTTCAGGAGTTAATCGTTCACTAACAGACGCACCAACGAATGCATATTATTAAAATTGTATTGCACTGTTTTAAGTACGGGGACTTATATACTTGTGTTATTAAATAAGAATTTATCACCTCATTACGTTCAGTGAGTGTTAAAAAAATCAACAAGCCTAGATGGAAGAATAATGTTGCCATTTTCACGTTTTAGCGGTAGTAAAAATATCGCAAAAATGGTCAGACCGAAAATAAAAGGAAGGTAGCGTGGTCAGATTGGTAGCTGCATATGTCTACAACGAGTTTCCCTGGGGGACGAAGATAGTGACAGCTAATACTAATAAATGAGTATTTATAAAAATGTTAATAATGTTTTCATAAATGTTTGCATTATGTCTACAAGAAGCAGAAAAAACATTTACGCACCTGCATTTTAGCACTTTGTTTACTTCCGTACGAAAAAATGTTGCAAAGAATGTACCTTTAAGGTAAAACTAAAACTACTACTCCTAAATGAAACTGAAACTACTAAACAGTTCACAACTTAACACGATTCTCTATTGTAGGAGGGAAGATTACAGAGGTGAGATTTTTTATGTAGTATAGAAGCATCAAACAAGTTAACAATCCAGGGAACCGCAGTCCATGGATACCTGGTATCAAATAGTGTACCTCTTAAGACCAAGATAATGCCTCACAGGTTTTGATTATACATTCTCTCTTATTCATCAAATACGACAGTGTGGTGTGTCGGTTGATATCAACTGCAGTTAAACGGCAGATAGAAAAGGGCTCAGTTATATACGAAGTCGCTTTTACTTATCTGAATCCAATAAATATTAATTTGACAAAGTATTTTGGCTATGAACATGTTACGAACATATTTATATGTCATCTAGGGGACGCTAATGCCACACCACACGAATTTACTACTAACATCAAACATGACAATTAAAACATTATTTATACATTATAAGCTCAAAACTCCTGCAGTAATTCTTGCTGGTTATTTCAAGAAGTGGATTTTCTTAAAACCAGCGTAAAAAGCAAAAACAGCAATGTATTAATATTATTTTAATAGAATCAGGCGTCACAGAGAAAATCCAGTATCTTAAAGATGTTAAAAATGAATGACGTGAAAAAATCTCTATGTAATAACATCCATATGAAACTTTCTATGAATTATTTTGTAAACTATGTTCAATGAAAATTCTATTCTATTCTAAGTTATTAGAGAAAATATAGGTAACTACGAGTATAACTTAATTATAAGTATTTTAAGATTCAAAACACAGCCTATCTTTGCCAGAAACATCAAAATTATAATTGAAAAGATGAATTATTAAAGATAATGTTACGAATTCCAGCTGCGAAAGCCGGTCTCGACGGTGTCGATCCCCGGCGCTATGAAGCCATACTCCGGAGGGAGGGACGCAGCGACCGAAGAGGCGGGTGTTGCTCTAGTTGGTGTGCACAGCGAGTACCCGCGCTTCGGTGAGGAACGAGCCCTAGGCGGCGGCACGTACAAAGGCGGGGGGACAGCTAAGCACAAACCAAACATAGGATATAGGTCAGTACTTATTGCTTATCTCTTAATTAAATTTAAATTGCATATACCAATTTGATTAAGCGGTACGATGTGATCTGCGTACATATAACTTTAATTAGTTTTTGAATGTAATTGTACCCCAACGAATGTGTTCATCATAACGATAATCTTTATCATATTATAAGATAACTCTCTTCTGTTTGACAGGCTACGCAGAAAGTTTTGCGTAAAAAAGTTTTATTTTACCAGTAAAGTTTTATTTTATCATTTACGAGTAATATTACGACTGCATCTATATGAAATTTACCCTCCACATTTTTTAAATTAAAATATTATTTTTCATTGATTTTAAATGTCGCCTAGAATAGGACGAATCAAATCATCATTCATGTGGGATTTATGGATCAAAGCCCTTCTAAGGAAACCGTGTACCGCTAGTATTACAATTTTCATCACGGTTAATAAATTTTGAGAGATTAAGAAAAAGGAGTCACCTATTGACGGCTTTATGAAAAAAAAAACGTAATAGGCAATGCTAATTATGACTAAAAATTAATCATAGAGAATAACCGAATTACATAATAGGAAGTGTTAGCTCTATTCTCATTCTTTTACTGTTAACGCAGTACGATTATGGAATTCACTTCCCTTTAGGATTAAGTCGGTGTCTATGTATAAAAGACTTATTAAGGAGCACTATCATTCACACCATAATTATTAATTCGTGATGTGAGGTATTCATATATGTAACATTAAAAATATAATATATTGAATTATATTTTTTTCTGTTATAATATATTATATTAGTATTCTATATTTATGTATATATATATATATATAAAAAAAAAAAATATATATATTAAAATTTTTAATAAAGTGCACACTTTGACTACCTCTATTTCCTTCAACTATCCTTCAATAGGCCTGCTGGAAGAAATTTCATTAAGGAATAAGCAGTGCCTTTGTACATAATTTTGTTTTTACCATTTTCCTATCGAATTATGTGTGTACATAAACGGTTAAATAAATAAATAAGTCATTTATTGTGACACTATAAATGACTAGTGGCGAGTGTTATTAGATGGAACAACCTTGCGTGAGGTGGTCAGTTTCACATAGAATGCGGCAGAACCACGACAATACATTGAAACAGGCCCGCATAGATCATAAATCATGTTTAATGTCCATGCCGGTAGTTGTTGGGAGCACTAGTTGTTGACGAGTACGTTCACCTGGGACAAATAGTAAATCGACGGATTCAAGTCGGCTGGGCAGCGTCCGGGAAATCACGACACATCTTCTCGTCAGGTATACCTCAATATCTGAAAACTATATTGTGCAACCAGTGCGTGTTGTTAGTGATGACTTATGGATCTGAGACGTGGTCTTTCAATGCTGGCCGTACGAGAACGCTCAAGGTCGCTCAGCGAGGTATGGAGAGGACTATGCTCGGGGTTTCTCTGCGTGATAAACTTCGAAATGAGGATATCCGCGGTAGAAGCAGAGTGATCGATATAGTCCAACGGATTGGTAAGCTGAAGTGGCAATGGGCCAGCCATACAGCTCAAAGAACCGACAACCGACGGGGAAAAAGGTTCTCGAGTGGTAGTCTCGTGCCGGTAGGCGTAGTGTAGGGCGACCCCCACAAGATAGAGTGATAACCTGGTAAGACATACAGGAAGTCGATGAATACATGTGGCTCTGGATCGTGCTTAGTAGCATTCTTTGGGGGAGGCCTATATTTAGCAGTGGACTTGTAAAGGGCTGTGATGATGAAGCCCGCACGTGCCGATTAGTGCCTTGACATGTTTAAAAGTACTAATAATAATACCTTTAATGGTTATGAATCTTGTATTTGTCAATACGATCCATAAACTTAGCGGAAACCGAAGGTTTAACTGTTTCAATATAAACCGACGCCTACCAAAGTTAAATAATAAGAAACGCACGGAAGATTTCGCTCGCTTTAATTGCTAGTATTTTTTAGAGCTTTAGCACCACTTGATTTCTTATTATTCACTTAAATTAAAAATCAGTTGAAAGGGATACGGTGAAAATGCGCTAGCAGTGTTGGAGCAGGTCAAAGAGGAGGTTTTCTGATGCGGCCCGGAACAAATATTTCTAAAATTGGTTCAAAGGCATAAATTTTTAAAAGACTACGCTGGTAAAAAGTTCTTTTAAAAGATTTAATTACAAAAGCTAGCTTTAACCATAGAACTTTTTTTTTGCTATACTCTATGAGTGGTCCACGTATAATGAAAGCTAGATTTGTATTTAACATAGCTTTTTAGTTTTTTTTTTTTGTTTTGTTATAATGCATTTAACAATCCATTATGTTTGAGGCTGCCTCTTAAAAAGTAGAAGTATTATAAAACTTTTTACTGTTATAAAAAAAACGTATTTCAGTTTATAAAAGTAAGTTCCAGAAGCTTGACCATAAATTATAAAATTACTGCTACTCGCTACATAATAGTAATGATTAACTGAATATTTAATGATGTAATTCTTTATTAAGTTAATGAATCGCTACTTCGTGGACTTTCACATTACTGGATTTTCTTTTAAGATTTGAAATCCACGGCTCGCTAGAAAAGTCACGCCGTCTAATAAGTCATATCTTTTTTCTAGTTGTGTTTATGGAGAAAATTTCATGATCGTAAATAATCTCACCTCATTACTTAACAATCACAAATTAAATAACTAACTTTCTACAAATCCACTGATAAGCAATCAGGATCTCAGGTCTCATTCTGAAAGGATTCTGAGATTTTTATTATTTAAATCCTAGGCGTGCTTTACATATATTCGCGTTGGTATGTGTAAATGAAAGTTTGTCAGGTTGTTCGGCTAGTGCACATATTAAGCTAACGTCAGTTAAAGGTACACAAAGACGAAAGGAAGTCTTTGTGTGCATGTACAACCGAATAATATTATCATAATGGTGACATTATTACATAATGTCTGCTAATCTGCTGCGTCTCATAATATAGTTGTTTAGATTTTATGTATAATTAGTTATTTCATCTCAGACCTCAGCGAGTAAATTTGCATCTACGTATTGGTTTTCAAATGAGGATAGATGTCTACGGGCCGTGAAGTTAATTCTTCCCCTAAATATTATAGTATACACAAAAAAAAACTTTGCCTTTAATAATTAGACTGAAAACGATGCTACTGAACTGATATTATTAAATGCCTACTATCATTAAATATTTTTAAAGTAAACATAGTATTGAAAGTAAACGCGACATTGAAATAATACATCTATTTGCTAAATGTCCGTCACTAACCTTGACCAAACGGAAATAACTATATTGGACCGAATCGATCTTGAAACGATAATGAATAAGCGATTGTTTTTTTTTTCTTTTTATTTCAATTAAACGTGTTCCAATTGCTACTAACAACCACGTCATCATTATCATCATAACAGCTCATCACAAGTCCACTGCTGAACACATCCTGCTCCAAAGGGATGCCACAAAGCACGGTCTTGAACCACAGTAACTTGAGAACATCTTCCAATGTAGCGGTGAATAGATTATTGAATATAACATCAACATGTCTTACACCTTTCTGCAGTTGTATATGTTTAGTACTCCTACTATACGAACACGTCATCACTTCTATATACGACAGCGACCACAGTAACGCTGGAGAGCACATGCCGAATTTAGACGAAATAAGAGGTTTTTCAATGTTCACATACGCAAAACTGCCAGATTGTACTCATCGGCCTCCTGTATAATTTTCTGAAGGGTATGAATCTGGCCTATGAGTGGCTGCAAGTCGTCAAATTTGCGTGACTATTTGTAATGACTCTAGAAAACAGGATGCAGACGCGGTTTATAAGAAAAATCGGTTTTTAGTTCTAAACTAGGGCGTTGTCGCCATTCTTATTAAGTAATAAGATCACCATCTTACTGTTCAACGTCTTCATTGTCGCGCTCCCATAGAGGATGAAATTGATGAGCTTGATGAGCACTTTAAGAACTGGCTTTCATAAGCTCCGCTGTACTACTACCTCGCCAGGAGTGTGGTCTTTGGACATCAGGAAATGGGAAGCAACGTCTTTTCAATAATAACAAGAAATTTAAGAACAGCAACTGCAAACTGCCAAGCGTGGCAATTATGGCAAACATATTATAATATTAATTACATTAAGTTAACATTTAATAAGATTAGGTTAGTACATTAAATCGTGGATAAATAAAGCTAAAATGTTCCACCTATTTATTTTCAGGTTAGGTAGGCGAAAGGCATTATTCGAAAAGCGAAAACGAATAAGTGACTACGCTTTGGTAATGGGAATGTTTGGTATTATAATAATGGTAATAGAAAACGAACTTTCTAGTGCTGGTGTATACACGAAGGTAATATATTTGTTAACGATTTTATTGTAATGGAAATGTATATTGTAATACAAAAATATTTTTTTCAGGCATCTATCTACTCGCAAGCGTTAAAGACACTAATATCCATGTCGACTGTGATTTTACTTGGCCTAATCGTTGCTTATCACGCTTTAGAAGTTCAGGTACGTGTCACGTTTGGACATGCAAATAGGCATATAGTGTTCAATACAATGAATTTCTGTCTCTATATATCTATCTCTAAAATCATTTAGGTTTTAATACGAAAACTATATTTTGTACTGTTATCAAATAATTTTCTTCAATTTATATAAATACTTACATTTATCGATGTTAAGAAAGGGCTATGTATTCTTTATAATGATCAATATAATTACAGCCTGTTGCAAGTCCACTGTTGAACACAAATGTCCCAGAAAACAAACCATTAACATAAGTCGTTTGCATTTCGTAGAAATAATAAATAACTATACATAATATTTATTAAAAATAATAATTATCATTACCGTGTAGAGGCGGTATAAGAATACCTACTACCCCATATCGTCCTGAGGTTATCGTAATAAACAATGGAGAGAAAATAGAAACAGGTGATGGGCACTAGTATCTTTCTGATAACAACTCAAATAACTGCTGTTGCCAACCCGCTTGCCAAACGTGGCAACTATGGCAGGGTCCCATCTAAGAGACAATCTATTGGGGAGGATCTAGTTCAGCAGTAGATTTTTAAAAGTTCAGACAAGAGGGCAGAAGAAAGTAAATGGGGAAGATTTGAGGGTTGTTGAATTCACTGCTTTCAGTTATTTATTGAATTTTGAATGAATTATTTTTAATACGTTTTTAAATCTATTTCCATACAGTTTTTAATATTTATATGTACTGCGTTGATAAAAGTAACCCTTTTGAGTGGACTGTAATAGTTATATCATCTATTCAGTCAAAATTATATTTAAGTGGATTTTTTCCTCTACTTTTATACGGGAGCACCCCTGAATCTATTTTATAAAAAAGAATCACCACTTTTTATTTTTGAAAACAGGTACAAAACTTGGTGCGCTACATTACTAAACGTTTAAAAATCAAGAGTAACGTCGTATTTAAAATTTATTACCACCTTTTCCAGAAAAGTATGGGGCTGTACTGTGATAGGCACCGTTTTAAAAATTCAATACAAGGCTAAGATACAAAGAATTAACGCAGGTTATATTTTCTACGTGGAAATTTTTAGGTTGTCGTACCTATTTGTAATTGTGAATTCAGGAGTAAAACAATAAGAACTTATTTATTTATTTTTTCATGGTTTCAGTTATTTATGATAGACAATTGTGCCGATGATTGGCGGATAGCAATGACATGGCAGCGAATTGCACAAATAGCTTTAGAGTTAGCTATTTGTGCCGTCCACCCTATTCCTGGCCAGTATACTTTCACGTGGACCACGAAACTGGCGAATAAAGGTGGTGTTATAGGTGTTGAAGTCGTAAGTTTTAAATTTTTTTACCTTTTAATATAAATGAATACAATCAGTTTATATAATTTTTATGGTAGCTTTTTATAATTTGTTGACTGTTTTGTTTTAATTTATTATAATGTTTAATAATAGTATAATATTAAGCCTAGTAATATTTTTTTATAATCATAATAATCCTGAAATTATAATCGTAAAATAATTTTTTCTTAGGAAACAATATATAAGCAAATTCAGGTCTGTATTTAATTAATCATAATATTCACGAAATTTGAGTGACGTTATTAAATGTATCACGCATGTCCGGTTTTTCTTGAGTAACTTTTATTTGTGTTTGTTTCACAATACATTTTATGGTTTAGCAACTAAATATCAAAAAGTTGAAAATAGTGTGAATGTGTAAGACTAATGCTGGGGGTTTGTATGAATGTTTTATATAATATTAAATAATTAATTATTAAAATTTATTTCTTCTTAAAAATATTTTCTAAAATAAAAGAAATATTTTTGGAGCTGGAAAACTTAAGCCGTAAAATATTGTTTGTTCTTTGAATAAAACTATTTAATTCGGACTTCCCGAAGCGTCAGTGCTTCACGTCAGCTATAGGTATGTTCAGCACCGTATATATGAAGCACCAACGCTACCAAAAGTCTGCGGTTTGTTGACGTGTTCAAGGTCGTCCCCAACTTTAAATTACATTTGATAGACCACAAATCCTCGCAAAAGAACACTGATTCCTATCAAGGATGTTACGAATGCTATTGAATGGATGAGTGCTGCCATCTGTTTGGGATCCTATAATTCACAAAATTAAATCCAAACCGAAGTATACCACTGCAAGACTTCAAGATACTTCAAACTCTATGTGCATAGATCTGACCAAAATCAATATTCAAAAACTGAAGGTAGCCGGGCTACACGGGCTACGGGCCGCCGTGACCATGGGTGCTGTAAAACACCTGAAACGTCGGGAATTAAAAAAATTGGTTGACCCTGCAGGCCACCCTGGAACTTCCCGCTAATTTCAAATGTAAAGCGCTCCAAATTCCACCAAATTATGTTACAAAATCTCGAAGTTATCTTAAAAAAACACGTTTTTTTCAAATTTTTTCTCCTTCGATATCTCATAACGAATAAACCGATTTTTGCTTTCCAAACGGCATTCGACGTTATTTTTTTGAGTTTAAGAGCTGATTAGCTTATAAAATCGATCGGTAAAGCCGTTTAAAAGTTATTTTAGAAAAACAGCTTTTAAATATTTTAATTTTTGAGATTTCTCATAATCTTCTCGTCCAAATCAGTTCATGTTATCATCAAATCTATTCCACATTAATATTTTTAGGACGCCGCAAACTGCATCTCAATCAATCAAGACGTTCAAAATTTATGAAAGGTTTACATACTTACACACACACTCATACATATATATATATATATATATATATATACATACATCCGTACGAACGTCAACGTGAAATTAGAATAGCTTCCTAGGATCTCAAAACGTCGAGATCTGATGAAAACTCGACTTTCGAAAATCGGGGTGAAACCAATAACTTCCCTACTATTTAAAATTTTCAATTTTCTTACGGGAAGTTAAAAAGTTAATCAAATGCGATAAAATACGAATTAATAGTTTTATTCAATGAGTAGTGTTCGCGAAAATATAAGAAATTATTATTCATATTTTTCTCAACAATACAAGCTTCCAGCTTAAGTTCTCTGCCAAAACTCCTTACAGATCTATTGAAACTTCTTAAATGTTTTTACTTTTATTGCTTATGATTAATAGTATTCGCTTAAAAATGCTTTTAAATATTTTATAACATGAATAGCAACCTCTTACTGATGAGATGTAGGTAGGGGTATGGAGATGCAGGAATCCTAAATATGCAGTTAGCTCAAGACCTAGCTTTGTTGCACTCTTTGGAGCAGACCTATATATGTTTAGAATTGTTGTTATGATGATTTCGACGACAATGATCTGAACGAAAACTAAAGCAAATTCAATCCCCAAAAGACACAAATTTGCGCGTTAAAAAGAACCCCTTTGTCGTATCTTAGTTTGAAGGCACCCCCCTTGCTGCCTCTAGCATCAAAATGCTTGGCGTTGACATATCGAATAGTGTGCAATTTCGTGGTTACTTAGAGGGGAAGGCCAAATTGGCCTCTAAAAAGCTTGGAATACTCAGCAGAGCGAGACAGTATTTCATGCCGGCACATCGCTCGCAACTTTACAAAGCGCAAGTTCGGCCTCACATGGAATAATGTTTTCATCTCTGGGCCCGGGCACCCTAGTGCCAGCTCCTTTCGCTTGACCGCATCGAGCGATTCTTGGCTTGATCGGCTTGATTCGCTGGCGCTGTGTAGGGATGTTGCATCCCTTTGCGTTTTCTATCGTATATACCATTGGGCGTGTTCTGAGGAATTGTTTGGATTAGTTCCAGCCACCAAATTTCACGAACGCACATTGCGTCAAATTTACCCATCTATAGCTACGCAGATGGCATCTCAGTTCTAGAGAAATACTAACCAAGTACTCGGCCAGTCGGGATCAAATCCAGTCTGAAAGGGAAGCTATGGTTCAGCCTGTGAATCTCTCAGTACAGGCAGCCTCCGAATAGGGCGATTCCAATCTTACGAAATTCCACACCTCCAAAACACAAGCATGTCTTTTTACCGCAAAGATTTCTTTTTCTTTCCAAAATATAGCACAGCAATACATAGACCGCCTTTAGTTTTTGGGGTCTGAGATTTACTTAAACCAGAATCTCGGGCAGTGTATGGAGTCCACGGCCAAAACAGCAGCAAGGGAGATAGGAGCCTTTGCAAAGGCGTGGCGGTAATGTACACCGAGACAGCTATTCACTCTATATAAAGCGCAAGTCCGGTTGTGCATGAATTATTGCTGCCATATATGTGGAGCTGTAAAATGCTACTTATTTATACTTATTATTAGCTTAGAACTCAATGGATAAGCGTGCCAAGAAGCTTATTGGTGACCCAGATCTAGGCCAATCTCACCAGCCTTGAACACATGCACAAAATAGGCAACCTTTTATTTCTCTAGATGATGCATTTCGGAGAGTGTACGAAGGAAATGCATAAATTAATTCATCCTCCTCCCTTCGATCATCGGACAATCAGACGCTCGGCCAGTCTCCACCCCAGTTATTTCCATGTTATCTTCTTACCACGCATTCAAAACGGTTTACTACATCATTCGTCGTACGTACAGCAGTAATGTGGAATAAGTTGCCAGCACCTGTTTTTCCATCTGATTACTATATGGATGGCGATGGTCTTTCTATTTTAATTGTTAAACTATTATCGATTGTGTTACGTATTGCTAGGGTCGTAGAATTATATAGGATGTGGTATAAAAAGTGGATATATCTTTACCTACGGGTAGGGGATATTACAACAGAGAATAAAAGATGTAAAATCTCACGGTTTTCGAGTTATGGAACATTTACGAAATTTTCTAATTTTTTTACTCTTGTCTATTCTTTTCAGTGCCAAGATAACAAATGAATTAGTTATCTCGACTTATTTTTTGTAGCATTTTGTAATAGCCATACATAATAAAAACCATAAATTGCACGTAGTAGCTACTTATACTTATACATAATGTCACACCAACAAACTCGACGTCCGTCATTGTTGTGAGTTGATCAGTAAAGAAGTATGAAGGCTGAGTGTAAACACGCTCTCGCGTCGTTATTGCTGCAGAAGTACTTAGGGAAATATTTTCGGCAGAGACAGGAGCAGTACAAGTGACTGAGTATAAATAGGGGATGCCTGGAATAGCGCAAGTAGGCAGTATAATGATACTGCCTACCTGCGCTAGCGGTGGTGACTGAACGGCTGAGGTGGAACCTCCCGTCCTTTTCTTTCATGCAACGTGTAAAAAAATACCTAATGACACTATTGCCACTGTATAAATATTAATCCTATATTTAAACTGTGCTATTGCTCTTTGTTTTGACCCAAAGTCCTACCTGTTGTGTGGTTCAAAGGATTAAAAGTAGGAGTAGGTAATATCGTAATGTCTGAATATCGTATCGATACTATAACATTGTGAGCGATATTTGATATCGGATTTCAATACACTATATTTTCTGAAACTATACGTTGACGATTTTATGCAGTTATTTCGATACCGGTTTCACGTCGATTTTTTACAAAGTGGATACTGGCTCGATACTCGGCTACATACGTTCAGTTTATAGTGTATCCCTATATGATATTTAGAGCGACTGGGTGCTATTATGAAAACATAGTGCATACTCTAGGTATGCACTAAGTTTTTATATAATATATAACTAAAATAATACTCACAATTAATGGACTGTCCTTCACACTTTTACTAGGCTTACGACTGGCTGAAATATTAACGGTTTTATAAATAACGAATAAACCGAGTATTTTTTGTTAATTAGGTACGTATCTGTAGATATAAATACCGTCTCACTATAATAATTATTTATATAATCACTAAATAATTATTTACGTATTTATCAGTCCATTTGCTGGTCTGTATATTTTAGCTCTTATTACAAAGTTAAATATGTTAAATTATATATATATATATATATATATATATATATATATATATATTTCATTTAACATATTTAACTTTCATTCCGGTCTGAGCAGGGGGGTGATGTGGCAGCGCTGTCGTCGCGCCACACGTGAAACACACCGAAACCTAAATCGCGCTATTAAAGTTCCGAATCATAAACAGTATATACAGGACAGCGCCGAAATATCGCACGGAGTGTTGGCCGCTCCCCGGGCACAACACCTTGCATGGCGGGAGATCTCCCCTTTTACTTCTACGGCCACAATTTGTACTAACTACTAAATATTTACATTTTTTACTTATTAGAAGTTAGATTATTCAAATCTGTGTTTGTTGCGATTAAGGTTTATAAATGCGAGTTGCTTAACTTTTGATGATGCTAGCCGGGTTCGACGATCATTAATGATCAGCCCCATCCTGCTAAAT